ATTACAGCTGGAAAAATGAATGAGTCTACAGAGCAACTTTCATTCACTGTAATGGACGATATCAGATTATTTCTGTATAGGGAATGTTTAAACACAAAAATATGCTGATTTTGTGTTGCGACACAGCTTAAACACAGCATGCTTGAACAATGCATCAAATTGCTGCACTTTATTTCAATTAATTCATACTTTTTATAGCAGTAAATTTCCATAGTAAATTCTATTCATAAACACATAAAGGAAACAAATTTATTAAGCTCAACCATGGATAGCCTTTCCCAAAAACGTGATAATGATGATTTTGGATGGGCAACACAAACAGCAATAGCTAGGTCTACATTGCAGTTTAACAGTGTGAAAATTACAACAAAAACTAGTGTAGCCGGGTTAGGTAAAAGTGTGCATAATCCATCTTATATCCAGAGAATGCAGGGCACTTACAGTCCTCTGTAGATTGTAGGGTTTTTTTTTTTTTTTTTTTGCAAAAGGCTGAATGGAATAAGCTGGACAACAGGCTCTTTAAAGCGGAGTTCCACCTGGAAGAAAAAAATTCAGCAGCTACAAAAACTGTAGCTACTGACTTTTAAAATACAGATACTTACCTCTTCCTCGGTCCAGCGGTGTCCTCACAACCACTGGTTTCACCGGCCATCTTCTCTTCCTGGCGTTGGCATTTCAGTGTGGGCACCCGGCTGTCACAGCTTGCGGCTTCACAGCCAGGTGCCCACTGCGCATGCACGAGAACTGCTGCATTTTGTGAAGGGACCTGTCATGTGTCCCAGAAGACTATGGGGAGGGAGGGTAGGAGGACAACCTCCGCTTCTGATCGCCTAGGCAATCACAGTGGAAGTGGGAGCGGGTACCTGTCAAAATCAGGTAACCAGTCCCCAAAGGTGCCAATCCTTAATGGGGATCAGGAGACAAAGGCTTAAAGTGGAATTTTCCCTTTTGGGTTGAGCTCCACTTTAAATTTGTAGCATGTCTTCTCAAGGCACAGAGCTATATACCTCAAGAAAGCATATTATAAATGTGAAATGGCTCTTGTCCAAGATCTTTGTTTTATTCTTTCATCTTGCAGGGATGCTATGGGCTGGTTGCATACGTGTTGCATTCAGTCCTGGTTAGTGTGGTGGAAGATGTATCTCCATTTCTATTCACTTTACACATGTACTCGTGATCATTTCTCCTACAAAAAATGCCATGAATGTGAAACAACTGGTGTGTGATATTTAAAGCAGAACTATGCTTTGTCTGTTTAAGGCTCACTTTTCCTTTGTTTCCTTGTTGCTCTATTCAGCTGCCTGGATCAAAGGAAGGAAGCTCTGTATAAGCCTCAAATCAATCTACAGAGCCACAGCACTGATGATGTTGCATGAGAGGAAGGGGGGTGAGTCACATGCTCCTCCATACCTGGAAATGAAGGTAGGTTCTTCACTTCTGGCAGCTTGGTGGACTAAAGAGGGAGCAAAGCCAAAATAATCGATTGTTGGAGAAGCTGACATTGAAGAAAACTTATTTTGCACATAAATCCCGATAAAGTGGAAATTATTTAGTTTTTGGGTAGAGGGACCATTGAAGAGGGGGTAGTGTCACCAATGTAGAGAGTGTAGTGACAACTGTGCAGGAATATCAGAAATTTAACAGATGTTACAGGAACAGGAGGTTTGAAAACCACTGTTCTGGTGACAAACTTTTAAGTTGCAATTTTCCCTCCCTTTGGGGAGGTTTCCACTCACCTTCTGACATGTCTCATGTGAATACAAACTGAAAACAAATCTCCTAGCATGGAAAGACATTTATAGGAGCCAGACAGAAGTTTTATCTATTCTCAACTCTATCCAAAACTAAAAATTTTTTGGCTGAAGTTCAGCTTTAAAAATTCCATCTTTACTTCTCCACTAACCATCTTCACACTGCAAGGGTGCTAGATGAAGGCCAGGTCCTATCTTATAATGTACTATCAGGTCTGGACTGGCCATAGGGCACATTGGGCATTTGCCCGGTGGGCCGGGGTTGCCAGGAAGCATGTCTCAACAAGAGCAGGCTGTGACATGCAGGGTCGGCTGCAGGTGAATGTGCCATCCAGGCATGAGCTGCCAACACTTGCTGCATATGATCGTTGGTGATGGAAGGACCTGAAAGAGTCTCTCCATTCCCCCGCCCACCAAGCTGCTCCATGACAAGTCCCAGTTTGCACATGTGCCCCACAGGCACCAATCGCCTGGCAACCAGGACACCAAGAGTGGAGGAGGAATGGAGAAGCCAAGGCTACGGCCTTCCTGCACATGAAAGCTGGAGAGGTGCTGTAGCCGTATATAGGGAAAGCATTGCGGCTGGTGTATGCCCACCTCTCTTCTTGCCCACTGCTTTTCCCACCGATGAAGGGGTGGATCTGTTTCTCTAGGGCCAGATACTCCTTTTTTTTATGATAATTATGCACTTTTTTCTCCTCTGTAACTGCAGTCTTCTAATTAGCAGGCTCATGTCCAGGATTTTCTATTCATCATGCACCTGCTGTGTGCCTGGCTCAAGCTGAAGGGGGGACTGTTCTACCCAGGAAAGTTGACTGTATTTAACAGGCTTCATAAGCACTACTAAAAGCAATACTCAAAAAGCCAGTTATAAAAGGAATACTTCTTTATAACTGGCTCAGTAAGTGATGCTTTACAACTGGCTTTGCAGTACTGACAAAGCTAGTTATAAAACATTTCTCACAGAGCCAGTTTTAAAGGAGTTTTGCTTAATAACTGGTTTTATGAGTATTGCTTAATGACTGACTTTGTGAGTAATGCTTTTTTTTTAATCCAAACTGTTTTTATTAGGTGTTCTTGCATGGCAAGACCACTTACTGTTATCTCACATATATATTCTTATAATTATAGCCAAATTTACCACCCTAACTCCTCCCACAGTTTTTACACTACATAGACAGTAATATAACGAAACGTGCGGATTGTTCCCGATTGGTGTGCTATTACTTTGTGGAACGTTTCGCCGAATGGTTCACGAAATATCGGCGTTTTTGTGGTGAAATTGGTCCCATAGGAATGAATGCCGGAATGTTCAAAACTAGAGTGGGAGCTGACAAAAGCTAGAGTGTGAGCTGAAAAATCAGAACATGATTTCTAAACTGCCATCACTCCCTCATTTTCAAGCCCACCTACACAAATCGTATATCAAAACGTTCAGCTATCCCTGCTGCCACTATAAATCTCCACGGCTAAGCCATAGTCCTGATAGTTTTCACAATATGACTATTTGTTTGCAACTCACGCCACCCATTGACATTCATTGAAAATCCACTCTAGCCACCTCAAATTTGAAGGGCAATTTCTAAACTGTGACTGTGCCTTCATTTTTAATATTTCAGAGACATACTATGCATCAAAATGTAGGTCTGGGTCTTGTGATTCTCACAATATAAAGCTCTTCCTGTAGGATTTATAGTTTTTAAAACTACGACCATTTGAAGACGCCAGTGAAGTGAGCAATTTGGAGCAGTTTGTTTTTAATCGCTCATCTCTGCCCTACTTGAAATCTAATTTTGAATTCGTGACAGTTTTGCTGTATTCTGGTTAAAGGTTTGGAAATAAGTTTTCTACAGTAGAGAGTATTTGAGGTGATAATGCTGCTAATGTTTTTATAAATGTATGTTTTAATGTAACTGTGAAGCACTTTGGGCAACAACATTGCAATTAAATGTGCTATATAAATAAATAAAAGTTGAAATGCATTTCTCACTCTATCAAACTTGCCATATGCACTTTTTAAATTTGATCAATCAATTGGTTAGTGTAATGTATACTTTCTTTACTCACTCCAAACCTCCACACAGTTACTCAGCCTACTCCATAAAGTTACTCTGCCCAGTCCAACCTTTTCACAGTTACTCCAGCCACTCCAACCACACAACAGTTACTCAAGCCACTCCACCCAGTTACTCCGCCCACTCCAGTTGTAGACTACTGGTGGAGGCAAGAACACTTCACACAATTTCCCCAGAAATTGTAGCTTTTCTAGTTGAAAATTGAAAGGGAGTACATGAGTAGATAACAGGGCATGAGACAATCTTACAGATGGGTACAGATAGAAACGTACGTATTGGGTCAATCAAGATTTTACAGAGTATGGAGAAATTAAGTAAAAGAAATAAAAGTCAGAAAAAGAAAAGGAAGGAAAGAAGAACAGAACACTCAACAAGAACAACAATAACAGTTGCAGGTGGGCCACCAGGTCCTATCTCAACAATCAACTAGCTGTAATGTATCATATTTGCAAAAGTCTGTTCATTATCAGTCTTGGAGGGGCCAGTCCGGGTGTATCTAACCAGCTCTGCCAGATAAGCTTAAATTTACATGGCGCGTTATGGTGACGATAGGTAATTTGTTCCTAAAAGGAGAGAATTAACATATTCTACCCAGCATTTCTTAGAAGGTATTGTACTAGACAGCAAGTATCTAGCTCTTATTTTTATCTCTAAATACAAGAGACGAGTAATCATAATCTGGACACCCGAGGAGTACATCTCAGGGTCCAGCTCTTTCAGTAGACACACTAATGGATACAACGGGATGGGAGTCTGGGCGAGGGAAGACACAATCCCTAGAACATTCCCCAATATCTTGCTAATTTTGGACATCTTCAAACCATGTGAATAAAGTCCCCTCTATGTGCCATACACTTTGGGCATAATGTTTTATCTCTCCTGCCCCACTCAACGATCTAACCGGCGTTCGGTATGCCCTGTGAAGGATAAATAGTTGCGACAGCTTGCGTGAGGCTGACAGGGAGGATTCTTCACATAAGAATCTCTTGTAATCAGAGCAGTGTTTTTTCTACTGTACTCAATTTAGCCTGACTTACTAATGCATGACGTTAGGGGGTCCATGTGCGTGCCCATGAAACAAGCTTCTTCTTTGCATGATTAGATACATAAAGGTTGAGTTACTTAGGGAAAATACCATATTTTTTGCTAAATAAGACGCACCTAAGTTTTAGAGGAGGAAAACAGGAAAAAAATATTCTGAACCAATGGACTGCAGACATAGTACAGGAAATGTCCAGAGACTACAGACACAGGAGATGACCAGAGACTGCAGACACAGTACAGGATATGACCAGAGAACGCGGACACAATATAGGAGATGACCAGAGACTGCGGACACAGTACAGGAGATGTCCAGAGACTGCAGACATACTAAAGGAGATGACCAGAGACTGCAGACATACTACAGGAGATGACCAGAGACTGCAGACATAGTACAAGAGATGACCAGAGACTGCGGACATAGTACAGGGGATGACCAGAGACTGCGGACACAGTACAGGGGATGACCAGAGACTGCGGACATAGTACAGGAGATGACCAGAGACTGCAGACATAGTACAGGAGATGACCTGAGACTGCAGACATAGTACAGGAAATGACCAGAGACTGCGGACACAGTACAGGAGATGACCAGAGACTACATAGTACAGGAGATGACAAGAGACTGCGGACATACTACAGGAGATTACTAGAGACTGTGGATACAGTACAGAAGATGACCAGAGACTGCGGATAGAGTACAGGAGATGACCAGAGACTGCGTACTTACTACAGGAGATGACCAGAGACTGCAGACACAGTACAGGAGATGACCAGAGACTCCGGACACAGTACAGGGGATGACCAGAGACGGCAGACCTTTGGGAGGGAGGGGGAGCAGGTACCCGAATTTGTCCCCATCTTCTGGGACATGTGACAGGTCCCAGAAGACTGCCGGACCATTCACAAAGCGTATTGCTTCTCACGCATGTGCAGTGGGCATCCGGCTGTCACAGGTGCCCACACTAAAGATGCCGGAGCCGGAAGAGAAGACTGTACAGCTCTGGATCGAGGAACAGGTAAGGCTCTGCTGCAGAGAAGAGCCGAGCGGCCGACCCGGTAATCTGACACGGCAGCGACGGGAATACCTGACCGGCCTCTCCATATTTGCTCCATAAGACGCACAGACATTTTCCCCCATTTTTTTTGTGGAAAAAAGTACATCTTATGGAGCGAAAAATACAGTATACTGTTCACTTTGCAAAGTAAACTGTAAGGGAACTTTCCCCAGAGTTTAGCGAGTTAGGTGAAGCACTGCTGACCTCATCCAATCATGTGCAAGCAAAAATGCTGTTTTTTAAACAATAAAAATTTCAAATGATTGGGTATTCTTTGCAAAAGGAACTTTCATCACATTCAATAAGCCCTGGGGATAATTTCCTTGCAAAGGAAAGCATATTTTCCTTTACTAAATCAACCCTATGAAATGAACAGAGCTTCATTGCACACTTTACCTAGCTTCATAATAATAAAACCTTGTACACACAATGAGAATATCGGACAAATGATCGCCCTTTTTTTTTGCATGCTAGTTTCATATTGAAAATGAAGAGATTTCAAACTTTTTGAAAAATCCCATACGACAGAATGAAATTTTGAAAGTTATGTAATGTATTGTATTGTAATGTATTCTTTTGTTTCTGAGCGTCTGTCTTCCAATTATTTTTTTGGGACAAATACTGTATTGATTAAACAAAAATCATAAGTTTTGTTATAGTTTGTCCCTTTAGATCATTTTGCATGAACTGTCATGATCGGCTCTAGAAAATTGTGTACTAATGATCAGATTATTGTACAATCACTTTGAAAGCAGTATTTTTCTTACGATTTTCTGATTGTGTGTTATAGCCTTAAGTCACATCCATTGTGTACAGTGAAGTAAGCTTTGACTTTAAATTATGCATGTTGTAAGATAAAAATAGAAAAAAGTCAAAATATCTAAGGTAAAGATTTAATTAATTTGGAAGGGGGAGTCCTTTCATGCATTTCTTATTTAGGCATTTTGCAGACACAAAAGAAACATGGTTAGGTTTTTAAGCAGAAAACATTTATTGCAATTTAGGAACGGTGATTTTGGATATTTATACTGTACATGTACGAGGTTAAAAGATATTGGAAGTCAATTTTTTTCAAGTAGGTATCAAGTTAAACGATACAGGCAGGAGATGATTATTATGCAGTCGTTGCTACTTCTTAAGTTGTCATGCTTTGTGTCTTGTCCACCTTGTGACAACATCACGGTAATCTGTGGAATCTTCTTCTGCAGGAAAACACTGAAAATTCTATGGATTTTGACCACGGACTCTATACTGGCAATATATTAACTTGTGGTAACCATGGAAACCTCACTGTTGTAATTTCAGCAACAGAATAAAAATAGCTCAGTTTAAAAATAACATGTCTTTTTGGCTCCGCTCTATATTTTATGAGCTCTATGCTCCTATGCTGTAGGATTTCTGGCTAATCTGTTACAGTTACATTTAAAATGAAATATATTTATTGAATAAAAATAAAGTAAAACAAATCAAATGACTAACCATTTTAAATATAAAAGTACATTTTATATTATTGTGACAAATGTTACAGCTTCTTTTGCTTTACATGTATACATCATTAAAGTAAAACTTGCTATGAGAGAAATAGGGCACTGACAGTGATATCCATTTTGAAGTAGTACTAGTTTACTGTCTGCAGTCATCACCCTGTGATTCCATTACTTATTGAGTAACTGACCTGAACATGAACATGCAGGTTGAGACTGATGACTTTTCTATTTTTTCTGCATCAGTGCCTCAATAAACAGTGAATCCATAGGATAAACAAGACAAAATGGGATCAACTTATCGAATTAAGTCAGCAATTGCAGCCTCCCTACTTCTGTCAAAACTCCTTTTCATATAGATGCCCTCCATTCCCCCTTAGCAGGGGATTCTGGACCGATCCCCTGTTCTGTCAGATCAGAAAGGAAACAGATGTCACATACGCATACGTGACATCCATGTCTGTTCTGATTTTTCTTCCAAATTGGCAATACACGAATCTAAGTTTTGCTGGTATCACCTTAACAGCTTTAATATTAGTTCTGAGGGGACTGACTCTTTTACAAATTATTGCAGGTATGTTATTGTTACATAGTTACATTGATCCAGCTTGGACCATTATAACTATGCATATACCATACCTGTGGGATTCCTCTAGAAGCTGGAAATCACTGTAGTAGGCACCTCTACTACAAAGATCTCCACTAGCATCAAAGTCCTGTGTCAAGCTGCTGCCCTGCTGCATCATGAACACAGGAGCTTGACTGCTGGACATGGATGCCCTTCAGAGAACACGTTCCACTTCCTCAATGTATGTAAAGCATTGGGCAAAGTGGAGAGCATGATGTCACCACCCCACTTGCTTTGCATTTATTGAGAAAATGAATGTTGATCATGCCGATCAGCCAACCTCCTGTGCTGAGCAGTCAACTTGACAAAGGACCTGAAAGCTAGTGGAGACCACTATAGTAAGGGTGCCTACTACAGTGATTTCCAACTTCTAGAGGGATCTTGCAGGTATGATATATGCATAGTTACATTGGTCCAAGCAGGACAATGTAAATAAGTAAAATAATCTGTATCTGGCATTATTTAATATATAAGGCTTCATGCACACTGGCCTAAAAAACACTGCCCTTAGAAGAGTTTAGCATTTTGCCTGTAGAAGCAAGTAATGTTATCCTATGTGTTCATGAACATTAGGTAGTCTAGAGGGTTTTTTTAAGGTCGGAGTTTAGAGGCAGAAAAAAAAACTTCTGCTTTGTGTTTTTGAGACTTTTTCTGGAAGAAAAAATGCTAAACGTTCCTAAACACTACTAAACGCTCCTAAACACTAGTACAAAAATGCTCAGAATTAGTATTTTTTCTGCCAAGAGCACTGCATTTTAAGCCAGTGTGCATGGAACCTATAGGTGTTTAACCTCTTTGCGCTGGCCGCACGCAAATGTGCGGCCTCCGGCATTTGGGCCTTGACGCTGAGTGGCCACACATTTGTATGCAATTAAGGTAAACATATGTGCTGAGAGCACCCTGCCCTGCACACATCACCAGTAAAGAAAGGTCCCCATCTCCTCTTTCGATCGGGACCTTTCCCGATCATGTGACTGCTGTGATGGCGAATCACGGCAGTCACATGACCTTAAAACCCAGCCCTGCCTCACGGCTTCTGAAACCCTTAAAGGGCCGGGAGGCACCGGTCCAAGGGGTTAAGCAACATAGAAGAGTATAGTTCTCCATAAGACTATGAGTACACAAGCATTTGTGGCTTGCATCTAACATAAAATTTGGGAAGTATTTTTGATAGATCTGGAATACAGGATTTTAATTTTGAATGGGATCTTATGGAACAGTATAAGGTTAAACTGACCTCAACATGATCTTAAAATGACCTCAAAGTCATCTCAAATACCCATGTATACTAACCCCATATTTGGATACGTCTCATTTTTAGCAACTTTATGCATGAGATTACAAATGCCTACATCGTCCATAAAGCTGCAATATGGGCTGCTTGAAGTGTTCCTTTCTCAGTAGTGGTTGACCACATCTGCAATATTTGGCTATTTATTGTGATGGCAACATATGAGTCCTGGCTAACTGCCCATACTGTAAAAAGGACATCAGAAATTGTCTTTTTGTAAGGTACCTGCATGTCTCAGTGCAGACCTTGAATAATTACATTTTACATTCCACCCCAACTATGTTTAGATGAATACCTAATAGGCAGGCAAGTCAAGAACAACACATACAATCTGCAATTATAAGCTGTTTTTGGCATCTTAAATGTCTTCAAATGTCCTGGGAACACCCCCCATTTTCAATGCGCTGTCTTTTTGAACAAAATTCACTATACCAGCTAGTCCTCTGTAATTGTCTATCTGTGTAGTCAGCTCCAGTCTGCATGAGCAGGTAGACATATCATGGCGTAAACAAGATACTTTGAAATCATAAAAATGGATTTGAAAGTATGAACTTTAACTTATATATTGCATTATAACTAAGGCTGCTTTAGAAACCATGGTGATATGGATAAAGGAAATGCAGTAAATAAAGGATTCTATCTTATATGCATTTGCACAATCAGACAATTTTGTTTTGCAATGTATCTTTCCCCTGGTTTCTGTAAATAGTAGTTACATGCTCATGAATAATAAAGGATGAGAAATTGTTCTCTGTCCTTCAGGGAAAAATATCTCATGAACGGTTTAGTCATAAATATAAGAACATCAGTTAATATTCTATCCAGACCCTAAAATCAGCAGTGGAATAGGTTCCTTTGAGGCTTTCCTTCAGGTTACAGAGAAAGGGATTCACTAGATGTTATTTATCTGTAGAGGATGATGCTAAATTTCTAAGCTAAATGTAGATTTTCAGATTTTGATGTAACAATTTATGAATGTAATGCACATATTCATTGTTTTTGACTTTTTTATCAAAAGTAATTGAAAAGTCGGCTTCTTACCAGCTGGGAACCAGGCTATCCAAAAATTGTATATCTCAGGATACATTACTGACACAGCACTTGTTTATGCAATGAAAGCCCTACTGGTAGCAAGTGACCAGGATCTATGACCCATCCTTATCCTCTGCATTTGATATGGTGAACCATGAACATTTAATATGGATGTTAGAATAACTGTAGTCTTGAGGGCAGAGCTCAGTTAGTTTCATTCCTTCTTCTCTGTCAGAGTATGTCTGGAGTATAAGTATGAAACCACTGCTCTCGCCCAGTACCACATTTGTATGGTGCCCCACAAGGCTCAGTACAGCCCCCAATACAGTTTACAGTTTTTATTACACCACTGTAGCACAATGGATTTAAGTAAAAAAAATCATGCACAATGATATTTAACCTTTAGGCTACCTCTATGTGATCCATCTTTGCCATCATCACAAATTTCTGCCAGAAGGAACTCCAACACTGAAGCCCTATGAAAGTAAATATTTATACAGTAGTGGTGTCTTGAAGTCTTCTACTATGGGTTCTGGATTTGTTATTATGTTTTGACTATTCTTGAAAGGTAGGGCTTGGAGGTTTGATCACCAGTTTGGTTGTCGAACTTCAAGGCTGCATGCAGTTCACTGGTTCAAA